AAGGGAACAAGCATATAATTTGTTACAACTGTTACATCTAGTTGCTGTTACAGCTAGTAATTGTTACATCTACTTACTGTTACAGCTAGTTACTGTTACAGCTAGTTACTGTTACAGCTAGTTACTGTTACAGCTAGTTACTGTTACAGCTAGTTACTGTTACAGCTAGTCACCGTCATCCACTCCACTGTCACAGCTTCAGTCACCGTCATGTCGGGTCACCGTCACAGCCAGTTACCGCGCTGTTTCAGTCACCGCCAGGTTGTTTCAGTCACCGTCACAGCCCAGTCACCGTCATTGCTCAGTCACCGTCGCTGTTTCACTTCACTGTCGCAGCCAGTCACCGTCGCTGCTCACCATCGTCACTGTTTCAGTCACCGTCAGCGTTCAGCCACCGTCACAGCCAGTCACCGTCACAGCCAGTCACCGTCACAGCCAGTCACCGTCGTTCACGTTTCAGTCATCATCTGTTTGTCACCGTCACGTCACCACCGTCACTGTTTCAGCCAGCCGTTACGTTTCACTTCCACTGCTTCATAGCCAGTCACCGTTACAGCCAGTCACCGGTTTAGCCAACGTCACAGTCATCGTCATTGGGTCCACCACCGCTTAGTCACTGTCAGATCACCACCTGGACAGCTGTTCCTGACACCGCTGTTGTCAGCCACCGCCGCTGTTCCGATTGTCCCGTCATTGCCCAGTCACCGTCAGCTGCTCAGTCACTGTCACAGTTCTCAGTCACCGCCAGTCACCCACCTGCTCCGCTGCTCAGCCGCCGCTGTTCAGCCACCGTCACTGCTCAGCCACCGTCATGTTCAGCCCACCGTCACAGTTCAGTCACCTGCCACCACCGTCGCTGTTTTGGTCACCGTCAGTCAATCGTCACAGCCTGATTCGTCACGTTTCAGCCACCGCTGCTCACCAACCACTGCTAATCACTGTCATGCCTGACACCGTCTGTTTCAGCCCACTGTTTCAGTTCAGCTTCACTGCTCATGTTAGCTACCGTCGCCTGGTCACCGTCAGCTCAGTTACTGTTCTGTAAATACCGCCTGTTTGTGTTACTGTTACAGCCAGTTATCACAGCCAGTTACTGTTGTTCAGTTATTGTTACAGCTAGTTACTGTTACAGCCAGTTACGTTGTTCAGTTACTGTTACAACCAGTTACTGTCATGTTCTGATACCGTTACAGCCAGTTACTGTTACAGCTACGTTACAGCCAGTTACTGTCAGCTCAGTTACTGTTACAGCTCAGTTATTGTCATGCTTCATCACCGTCACAGTTAGTCACCTGTTACAGCTTACCGTCAGCTTTAGTCAGCCACAGCTACTACTGTTACAGCCAGTGTACTGTTTACAGCTAGCTACTGTTACAGCTAGTAATTGTTACATCTAGTTCCTGTTACAGCCAGTCACGTATGTTACAGCTCCCGTTACAGCCAACTGTTATAGCAGTCACTGTTAAGCTAGTAAATGTTATAGCAGTCACTGTTACGCTATTTACTGTTACAGCCAGTCACTGTTACAGCTATTACTGTTATAACTAGTTACTGTTACAGCTAGTAAATGTTATAGCTAGTTACTGTTACAGCTAGTAAATGTTATAGCTAGTCACTGTTACAGCTATTTACTGTTATAGCTAGTTACTGTTACAGCTAGTAAATGTTATAGCTAGTCACTGTTACAGCTATTTACTGTTACAGCTAGTCACTGTTACATCTAGTTCCTGTTACAGCTAGTTACTGTTACAGCTAGTAAATGTTATAGCTAGTCACTGTTACAGCTAGTCACTGTTACAGCTATTTACTGTTATAGCTAGTTACTGTTACATCTAGTTCCTGTTACGCTTAGTTACTGTTACAGCTAGTCACTGTTACAGCTATTTACTGTTATAGCTAGTTACTGTTACAGCTAGTTACTGTTACAGCTATTTACTGTTACAGCTACTTACTGTTACAGCTGGTAAATGTTATAGCTAGTCACTGTTACAGCTAGTCACTGTTACAGCTAGTCACTGTTACAGCTATTTACTGTTATAGCTAGTTACTGTTACAGCTAGTAAATGTTATAGCTAGTCACTGTTACAGCTAGTCACTGTTGCAACAAGTTACTGTTACAGCTAGTAAATGTTATAGCTAGTCACTGTTACAGCTATTTACTGTTATAGCTAGTTACTGTTACAGCTAGTAAATGTTACAGCTAGTCACTGTTACAGCTAGTCACTGTTACAACAAGTTACTGTTACAGCTATTTACTGTTACATCTAGATACTGTTACATGTAGTTACTGTTGCAGTTATTTAGTGCTACCGCTAGTTACTGTTACAACTAGTCACTGTTACAGCTAGTTACTGTTACAGCTAGTTACTGTTACAGCTAGTCAGTGTTACAGCAAGTCATTTTTACAGCAAGTCAGTGTTACAGCAAGTCATTTTTACAGCTAGTCAGTATTACAGCTATTTACTGTTACAGCTAGTTACTGTTATAAGCTAGTCAGTGTAACAGCTAGTCAGTGTTACGGGTAGTTAGTGTAACAGCTAGTCACTGTTACAGCTATTTACTGTTACAGCAAGCCACTGTTACAGCTATTTACTGTTACAGCAAGCCACTGTTACAGGTAGTTACAGGGATATAGTCAAAGTCGGGTAAGGTGAGAGTGTGGTGGTATAAGATGCCAAACTGCCTCCCACAACACACATTTCTCTTCGTGATCTGAGAAAAACTTTCCAATCTGAAACTTTGGAAACGCCAGCTGCCACATCATCTGTTATGCTCCTACCGCCGCCAGATGCAACAGAAAGCTTGCTCAGTGAAACGGTGTAAAATAGCGACCAATATCCCACTTATTACATAAAATTTAGGTGTCGTGTTTGGTACTACAAGTATTAGAATTAAAAGTGTTTGAACTACAAGTGTTGATATTTACAAGTCTTAAACTAAAAGTGTTTGAACTACAAATGTTGGTACCTACAAGTGTTGGTGTACCTACAAGTGTTGGTGTACCTACAAGTGATGGTGTAACTACAAGTGTTGGTGTACCTACAAGTGTTGGTGTACCTATAAGTGTTGGTGTACCTATAAGTGTTGGTGTACCTACAAGTGTTGGTGTACTCAAGTATGATGGTGTAACTACAAGTGTTGGTGTACCTACAAGTGTTGGTGTGACCTATAAGTGTTAAAATTATGTTGGTGTGCCTACAAGTGTTGGTGTACCCACAAGTGTTAGTAATACAAGTGTTGGTGTACTACAAGTGTTAGTAATACTAAGTGTTGGTGTACCTACACGTGTTAGTAATCCATGTTGGTGTACCTACAAGTGTTGGTGTACCTACAAGTGTTAGTAATACAAGTGTTGGTGTACCTACAAGTGTTAGTAATACAAGTGTTGGTGTACCTACACGTGTTAGTAATCCAAGTGTGGTGCACCACAAGTGTTAATACAAGTGTTGGTGTACCTACAAGTGTTAGTAATACAAGTGTTGGTACCTACAAGTGTTAGTAATACAAGTGTTGGTGTACCTACAAGTGTTGGTGTACCCCATGTTGATGTACCCACAAGTGTTGGTGTACCTACACGTGTTAGTAAACAAGTTTTGATGTACCTACAAGTGTTAGTAATACAAGTGTTGGTGTACCTACAAGTGTTGATGTACCCACAAGTGTTGGTGTACCACGTGTTAGTAATACAAGTTTTGATGTACTACAAGTGTTAGTAATATAAGTGTTGGTGTACTTCCACATGTTGATGTACCCAAGTGTTGGTGTACCTACACGTGTTAGTAATACAAGTGTTGGTTTACCAAGTGTTTGTAATATGTTGGTGTACCTACACATGTTAGTAATATAAGTGTTGGTGTACCAACAAGTGTTAGTAATATAAGTGTTGGTGTACCTACAAGTGTTGGTGTACCTACAAGTGTTGGTGTACCTACAAGTATTAGTAATACAAGTGTTGGTGTACCTACAAGTGTTGGTGTACCTACAAGTGTTGGTGTACCTACAAGTATTAAGACAAGTGTTGGTGTACCTACAAGTGTGGTGCACCTACAAGTGTTGGTGTACATGTGTTAGTAATACAAGTGTTGGTGTACCTACAAGTGTTAGTATACAGTGGTGTACCTCCAAGTATTAGTAATACAAGTGTTGGTGTACCTACAAGTGTTAGTTATAAGTGTTGGTGTACCTACAAGTGTTGATGTACACAAGTGTTGGTGTACCACGTGTCAAGAATACAAGTGTTGGTGTGACCTACAAGTGTTTGTAATACAAGTGTTGGTGCCTACAAGTGTTAGTAATATAAGTGTTGGTGTACCTACAAGTGTTGATGTACCTACGAGTGTTGGTGTACCTACGTGTTAGTAATATAAGTGTTGGTGTACCTACAAGTGTTTATGTACAAGTGTTGGTGTACCTACACGTGTTAGTATCTAAGTGTTGGTGCAACAAGTGTTAGTCATAAGTGTTGGTGTACCTACAAGTGTTAGTAATACAAGTGTTGGTGTACACAAGTGTTAGTAATACAAGTGTTGGTGTACCTACGTGTTAATGTCTAGTGTTGATGTACCTACAAGTGTTAGTAATACAAGTGTTGGTGTACCTACAAGTGTTAGTAATACAAGTGTTGGTGTACCTACAAGTGTTAGTAATACAAGTGTTGGTGTACCTACACGTGTTAGTAATACAAGTGTTGGTGTACCTACAAGTGTTAGTAATACAAGTGTTGGTGTACCTACACGTGTTAGTAATACAAGTGTTGGTGTACCTACACGTGTTAGTAATATAAGTGTTGGTGTGCCTACAAGTGTTGGTGTACCTACAAGTGTTAGTAATTCAAGTGTTGGTGTATCTACAAGTATTAATAAAACAAGTGTTGGTGTACCTACAAGTGTTAGTAATACAAGTGTTGGTGTACCTACAAGTGTTAGTAATACAAGTGTTGGTGTACCTACAAGTGTTAGTAATACAAGTGTTGGTGTACCTACAAGTGTTAGTAATACAAGTCATAGATGGTGCTCCCAAAAGCTGGCCATGTTTTTCCACCAATCAGAAGCCGTCTCCTGTTTCTTGTTTTTACTAGTTGCCTGCTGGTAACTAGTGGTTTGGTCGTGTGTAGTGGCCGTGCTGATAAATGTGACAATGCAGTGTATTTACATGCAAGTGTAACCCTTCTCTGTTACACCTGCACCTCGAAGGAGATGGGCAGCCGACACATAGAAGGGGTCACAGATGCAGTGCAAACAATGATGGTCAATGGTCTGCTTCCCAGGATAATGCATCTGCCAAGATGTTGTTTTCTCCTTTGATGTGGTTAATCATGATACGAAAAGGCTGGATTAGGAGGGCCCATCGCAGAATATGTTGATTACTGTAACTTACCTTTTCGATGAAGATGAGTGGATTATGGTCTGGAAGGCCTGAATATCATGAAAAGGATTATGGAGATAACACTCAAACTTCTTAAGGGCAGACACCAGGGCTAATCCTTGTTTTTCAACTGTACTATAGTTGCGTTGGTGAGGTTTCAGCTTAGTCATGAAATAACAGACTAGATGAAGTACCCCATCAGAATCATCCTGCTGCAGAAGAACAGCACCTAAGCCCTCACCTGAGGCGTCCATATGAAGAGTAAAGGGCTTATTGAAGTTTGGAGACTTGAGAACAGGATCGCTTGCGCCTTCTTTAGCTGGTTAAAGGCTTCTTGGCAAGCTTGATCCCACGTCAGTGGAGCAGCTACAGATATGAAATTCTTGCAGTATCTTCTGTAATACCCCGTCATTCCAAGGAATCTCATAAGGGACTTGCGGGTTGTGGGTACTGCAAAGTTGAGGATGGCATCGACGTTGGCAGTTTTGGGTCGACATTGTCCTTGACCCACGATGTGTCCCAGGTATGTGATGGTGGCCTGGTCGAATTGGGACTTCGCCAGGTTGATAGTCAGGCCTGCCTCGTCCAAGCTCTGTAGACCTCGAAGGCGGGCGATGTGAACATCCCACGTTTCTGAAATACTAGATTCCACCTCCATCTTTTGGGACCAGTAGGGAAGGAGAAGCCCGTGAGGAGTAGCTGGGTACCACCAGATCTTGCTCCAACAGGTAGTCAACTTCGTCCTTCATCTTGGCCTTCTTCTCTGGGCGGAGTCGGTAAGGAGTCTGTCGTACAAGATGGGAATTAGTGGAGAGTTTGATATCATGGAGAACATTATGACATCTACCTGGACTATCCCTGCATACACCTGAGTTATCTTGCAGTACTTTAATAATATCAGCCTGCTCTTGAGCGGTTAAGGTTGGTAAGTATTCTTAATGTTGTTTATTATATTAGAGTTTTCTTTCCTGCTTTCTACAATAGGGCTATCCTCCCCAACCACATCTATGTCCTCAGCAGAGAACGCCTGGTTGGTGAGGACAGATCTCTCACCAGAGTCACCCTGAGGACACCTGCAATACAATTTCATTAAGTTGAGTATGCTTTCTGCAGTCAGTAGTTGGAACAACTTAGTTTACTTTATTTAATTGCTGAGATAATTTCATTAAGTTTCTAGTGCAATTTGTCTTACTTTACTCAGTTTGGATTTAAGATTATCAAGATATTGACCAACAGTCTGATTAGAAGTCTCTTGACTAAACCATTGTTCTTGTATGACTTTAAGGGGCCCTCTTACTTTACGACCATACAACATTTCAAAAGGTGAGGATCCAAGTGATTCTTGTCGGCATTCTCTAATTGCAGGGAGCATGAAACGAATTCCTTCGTCCCAATCAGCTTTTGTGTCAAAACAAACTCTGCTTAGCAATGATTTTACTGTTTGACGGTATCTTTCTAGGGAACCTTGTGACTGATGATGATAAGCCGGCCGATGAAAAAGTTTGTTTAATGCCTAACACCGATAGCACTTTGGAGAAAAGGTCACTTGTAAGATTTGATTGAATTTCTTTGGGGATACCTACTTGTGTAAAAAAAATTTAACAAAAGATCAGCAATAGTTTCAGCTCAAATATTTTTTACTGGGAATGCTTCAGGATACCCTAGTTGTGGGGCACATTATAGTCAACAAATATTGGTTACCTTTCTTGGTTTTTGGAAGTGGGCCTGTGGGGTTTCGTGATGTTGTCTCGTACTCAGGATGGAGGTAAGAAGGGAAACTCACAATGGCGGTTTTCTTATATAAATATATTGAATGTACAGTGCACTTTGGTGCTGGGAAGTTCCCGTGATTAGGAGCTTGCTGAGAGGAGGCGTTGGATGAGGAGCTTGTTGAGAGGTCTTGTTGGTTCGGGAGCGTGGAGTAGAGAGAGGTGTTGCGTGTTGCGGGGCTCAGGTAGAAGGGCCGTTACGGCGTGGCTGAGAGCTTTATATAGGAGCAGGTAGACGTCGCTGGTAGCAGACCCCGCTCTGTAAAGCCCCGTCCACACAATCGAGCAGTGTGTTGTTGTTCACACGGGGATGGTTGGCGGCAGTCATAGTTGGGCGCCGGTAGCTAGTAGGTGGTCGGCAGTGGCGGGTGCAGTACGATCACGATGGTGTGTCGCAGGAATAATCGCCGGACAGTTAAAGCGAAAGAGTATAGCGTTGTGTACTATAATAATTGCTATGTGCAAAAAGAGAGCCAAATGCAGAAAGGGAATGGTGCAAGAGTGGTTAGGTCGAAGACAAGTTTGGGAAGTCATGCCACGATTTTACGTGAACTGCAAGATGGACATGAGCAAGACTTCACCAATTACATGAGAATGGACTCCAACACCTTTTACAAACTTCTAGCGAAAGTGGAACCATATATAAAAACAGGATACCAATATGAGGGAAATATATCTGCAGAGGCTCGTCTAGAGGCAACGCTCATATATCTTTCAACTCGGTGCACCTACATGTCACTTCAGTATAGAACGAGGATATCAAAACAAAGTTTGTCTCGCATAATACCTGTAACTTGTCAAGCCATGTATAAAGTACTCAGGAAGATTACTTGCAGGTGAGATTTGTAGTACATAAAAATTAATTGAATAATGTTAGAATTATGATATGCATAGACAGGAAGCTATGGGACTGGTGAGGAGAGCGGCAGGAACGAAGAACACACACGAATGTCCTCATTACATAATACATAAACAATCTCCCGTTTATTGTCACATAATGTACATTGCATAAGCTTATTTGGTTATACATGGACATCTGGACCGAGAGGAGGGAACATATTCGTATCACATTTGCAGTACTTAACTAGGTTTTACGTGGCATACGTTCTGTCAGTATCTCTGTTCATACCTCACCGACTTGAGGACCCCGACCCCCGAGGTCAGCGGTGGCGTAGTGATCAGCTGTTTTTGACAGTCACGTGAGGTTCCAATAATAACACGTGTCTTGTATTGCAGGCTTGTGTAATGTTGAATATTAATGACAATATTATGGGAATGTCGGTTTTCCGGTTTTATCGATTATTAATAATGAAAATGATATTAAAACATATTAGTATTTGTGAAGGGGTAACCCTGCCATACACATGTGATACATGATGGACCTGTTTGGGACACTAAGTTGTTTGCAAATAAGATATTGATGATTGACACAACTTGTATAAAGACTGAGAAACTGACAGCCAGGGTCAACTTCGTTCGTCTGGCAGAGTCGTCGCTCCATATCCGGCAGCAAATCACCAGGCAGGCCGACCATGATTTCGCTCAACGATGGGCAGGGCTCCTCCTGGTTTGCCCCCAATTTTTTGACTAGCTCTAAATCCAAACTGGGAGTCTGTAAAGATGTTATTGGCATTGCAGAATGCATTTAGTCTATTACATGCTAGCTTTTCCAGTATCTTACTCAAGGCTGGGAGGACTGATATGGGGCGGTAATTCTTGAAGAGACCTTTGTCCCCAGATTTTTTATATGCTGGGTGAACTTTAGCAATTTTCACTTTATCAAGAAAGACACCACTAGTGAAGGAGGAGTTACAAATGTGTAGGAGAACAGGAAGTAATAAGTGGGCTACTTTCTTAATGCTGCTGCATCTTTGGACATTTTTATGTTGGCCAGTAATTCATCTTCTGTGACAGGGGATAAGAACAGCTCATTTTGCTGTCTGTTTTGCAGGTAGTCTCTAAATTGCCCATGGTGATCTGGGATGCTCTCTGCAAGATTTTTGCCAACATAAATAAAATATTAATTGAAGTGGTTGGCAATGGGAGAGGGTTCCGTTATAACTGAATCATTTATCAAAAAGCTGAGAGGGGGGCTGAAGGCTGAGTGTTCCTGTTCTGAAGAGAATTCATGACATTCCAGGTTTTCTTACTGTCGCCTGATGCTAACTGGAGCTTATTTGTATAATAGTTACGTCTGGCGTTTCTAACTGCTTGAGTTACTCTATTTCTGATACTCCGGTAAGCATCACCGAAAGTTATGGGTCTTTTTGCAAATTTCCTTTGGAATTTGTGTTTTTCTTTTATCATTATCTTAATTTCGCTTGTGATATAGGGTTTGGAAATGGATATAGTTTTCACTGATTTAGTCTTGAGCGGGAAGCATTTATCAAAGCAAGCATTGAAGATGCAAGAGAAATTGCAGCTGTTCACGTTAGGGTTGTCGGAGGCATAGACAAGATCCCAGTTAGCATTCATTTGGTTGTTTTCAAAAAGGAGCATGTTGTCGGTGCAGTAGTCTCTGTATTGGATTGAAACTACTAGGCCTTTCAGGTCTTGTGGCTGTTTTATACATTGCAAAAACTGGGAAGTGATCTGAGATATTGTTATAAATAATTCCACTTGCAAGATTGTTAGGAGTGTTGTTAGTCCAGATATGATCTATCACAGTGGCAGAGGTGGCAGTTACTCTAGTGGGTTTGGTTTTAGTGTTGAAGAAGAGTTTAGAATGACAGGTAGCAGGAAAGTCTAATACTGAGGTGTCAGTTTCTGATTTTAATAGATCAAGGTTGAAATCTCCTGTAATGTAGCAATGTTTCCTCTCTGAACTTATGATAGTGATAAGCTCCGAAAATTTATCAAGATAATTCCTTACATTAGTGTGGGGTCTTCTGTAGATTACTCCTACTAGAATATTTCGTGTGTCGTTACGTAATTCAATGAAAACACTCTCCATGTACTCCTCCTGAACCTTTAAATCATCTCTTACAGAAGTGTTATACTTGATATCAACATATAGGGCGACAGCACCACTGTGTCGTGACGTGTTGACGCAGTGTCTATTATAATTAGGATTGTTATACAAATGGTCAATATCGTTAGTGAGTTTGGTCTCAATTACTCTCAATTCATGTTCTCTCTCTCCCTTTCTCTTTTAATTAGCTCCCTTTCAAACTTTTTCGTTCAAATAACAATTTTTCTCTTTCAAGGTCAACTAAGGTGTTAGCTTCCACACTCACTATCTCCGGTGTCTCCAGCTGAAAAGGAGAACCTACCACATTTTCTTTGAAGTCCCCAGGACTAGTAATGAGTCTAACAGCTTCTTCAGGAAGAAACTCTTCTGATATTAATCCTTGGACAACTACTTCTTTTAATCTGTCTTTACGCAAACTTGTCGAGACTGGAATTGCAAAATGATCAGGTATTGTTGTCTAGTCTGCTTTCCTAAGGTCTGCATCTTCGGACCACCGACGAAGACCAGACCGGAGATCTTGGAAGAACTCAGGACCGTACCGATCCGGGGAACCCGACCATGGACCCGGAGAGGGCACTGTTCCCTCTTAGCGGAATTGGATGCGACAGGAGATGAGGACGACGATGAGGATGTGACTGAGGTTGCTACGCCAAGGTAGGACTCCGAAGACTTCCCAGTACTTCGGCAGTAGCAGCGGAAGAGGAGGAGACCTACCAAGTTTCAGGATTGTCATGTATATAGCGAATGAGTGTGTAGGGACGACACAAGGATTAGGGAGGGGGTAGTGTTATGCCGAGGCATAATATAGCATTATAAAATTTGTGAATGGGTGTTCTGATTATTTATTATTCCAAGCAGCAATTATTTTGGCAAGTTTAGGGAGATTTTCACGTATATTCTGATGTATTACTTATGTAA